TTGTTACGGTGTAGCCACACCATTGTGTGATTACACCGAGTTGTGATCCACACCTTTGTACGGTCACACCATCTTGTGTGACTCACCCTTTCAAACCAGCGTACGTATAACCCCGTTTCACTCATCTTGGGCGAATTGAAGCATTGCAGCAGGGTTGCTCGACGCTTGAAGGTCGCAGCAAGAGCCTTTCAATCTTGTTGCGGAGCAGAACTCGAAACTCGACGTTCTGACTGATGGTTCCGCCCAATGCTCGGCTTCGGAGTCCTGTTTAAATTACGATTTTAACAGGTTCGTGATGAACTTGTTCGACTCCGGAAGGACGAGAAATCTTGTGACGGCTCACGAACACCGGTTCCGCTCAGTTTAATAGGTAGGCTCTGTTCTCGAGGTACTCCATGGTGAGCATCATTCTCGCCTTCAAGGGTTGGTATCATAAAGAAGTAATCTTTCGATGTCGTTCAACACTTGTACGCCGAGAAGAATCGTCACGAAGAGTTGGTTGCTCTTCGTGAACAATGGCTTGACTTCATTATCCGCTCGATCATCTCGCAAAGGTAGTGTAGAATCGACAGATCCACTCGAAAGATACGACTTTAGCCTTCCCACATAAAATTTAGGATGTAGGCACATTTGCGTAGGGATGTCTCATGTACACACATCACCACTGCATTTCAACACCTTATACTCTCCAATGAATCTTGGTAAAAGGTTCCTGCTTCCCAAGTTGGACACTGCATGGTCAGGCACATTAATCGTGCTGAGTACTACAAAAACTCATTGACTTTATATACCTTTTTGACCTTCCTTCTGCTTTCATCTGCATGTTGTTTTGCAGATCCTGAGCTTTTGCAATTGCGTCTCGAACAAACCGAACAACGGCTTGTCTATTTGCAACGAAGTCATCGACGTGCTGTTCCTCACGACGTGTCATGTCATCTGGAGTTCTAATTATGTCGGAATTTGCTTTTAACTCTGTGACTGGACTGTAGAAGTAGCAAAAAGCGACTTTGCGATCAATAATTGTTGTTGTAAAAGATCTTATGACATCAACAGGTCGATTACAAAGCTGCGATGCTTTGGTAACTGTGGGGTTTGAGCCCACACAGACTGGCATGTCTAGCGGAACTTAAGTCCGCCTCATTAGACCAAACGTGTAACGGGGTTACACATAACCTGGTAACAAGGTGTGTGTCACACCAGATGGGCTTGGTGTGATCACACCCAAACAAAGATACGGTACGGGGCTGGATAGCCAGTAGTTATACATGTTTTTCGATTTTACTTAGTAAAATCTATGCATTCAAAATTAGGCGGCTTTGCTGCAGATAAAAATTAATAAATTCAGTTTTTAATTTAAACCGAAGAGTTAATTAGCCTACGGTTAAGGCTAAAATTACTCTTGGAGTAAGCGAATTACGATCCGCTAAACTCGTAAATGTTCTGAGTATAGAACGGGAGATCAGGGACCTAACTTACGTTTCCTCGAAGCGCAAAGCTACGGCAGCCCCGTTGCAAATACGGGCAAGATTCATACTTCTTAATTTACCTCGTCGTGATCAAGTCGATCAGACCATATTTCGATGTATCCCAGCCCTACCCCCAAGCATTCACGCAAGCCTCTCCATAGATATCGAAACCAGCCGTCGTTTCATGATTCTCGCGCAAGATGATTGAGTGTTGGATGGGGGGGGCTTACACCTTCTGAAACCGGGTTACACGTACCTTGATATGAAAGGTTAGGTAAAACAAGATAGTGTGACCACATAATGGTGTGGCTACACCCTAACAAGAAGCGATTACGTGGCAAGACTGCCAATACTTATGCATTTTAAATAGGTTTTACTACTTGATTTACCTATCAATTTAGATATGAGCGGCTCTGCGGCAAGAAATCAAAATAGACAAAGTTCACATTTTGAACAGAAGAGTTTATATCCCTTGGGTTAAGGTTGTGGTTTCTCTTGAGCAAGCGGATTGCGATCCGCCATACCCCTACTGATTCTAGTATAGAATGTAAGGTCGGTGACCTTAGCTTAGCTTTCTCTAGGCAAAAGAGCTACGGCAGTCCCGCTGCACCCTTCTTCTCAAGCACGTACCGGCAACCGATTTGCCGCGGAAGATCTATTCGTCTTTTCAATTGGCTGTTTTGCGGAGTCTGTATCCATCAATATAGTTGCCAGAGGGATCCAGAAATCCAACCAAGCTTCGCTTATACGCACGGTCCAGGACAATAGCCCCGGATCTGTGCCACGATATTTCAAACGACGGTATGGTCGTGCAGCTGAGCGCCCTTCCATGCACAATTCGTATGTCATGCAGGATTCTGGGAAGGATGCGCAAACTGCTAACGACACGAGCAAAATTAGGTTATCTCCGAACAGCGCTGTTTCCCAGCCATCCGCTATAAACGGTACGTGTTCAAACGCCCAAACAACCGCAGGCACACCGTCGCATCGCACCTTGCTTCAGCGCTCCACAGAGATTCGTCGCGACAACAATTAGATATCTACTCCACCGCTTGTCGAGATGTCACGGTCCAAGGCAATGGATATCGAAAATATTGCTGCTTTGTATGAAGCTGGTGGAGACTAGAGTCAACCCGCCGCCCCGATTGAGCAAGCATGTCCATACGTGCAGCCTCGTGCTCGTTATATGATATCATTGAGACTAGTCATGCACCGCACCAAGCAAAATCCTCGCCTCGCTGCCCAATGAAGATGGTAACCCCGTCGTCCAGCAAATTGACCAGCAGCAACGAGGCCAGCTGACAAAAGCGCCTGTTGGTAACATCCGCATCATGATGAAGATAGAAGAAGCCTCCCAGAAGCTAACCGGTTAGGAAGTTAAGATTCTTCCAAAAAAGATATCGATTCAGCGAGTTTAATATTCTTGCCGACTGCTTCTTCATTGATGTGTCGAGTGTCGACAGTGATTTCGACGCAGACCCCATGCTTGAACGCTGCTTCGAGCTCGGAGCACAGCCGATATACGGTACACTTCGAGATTTAAATCTGATAGCAGTGATCACCGCAACCACGTGGCGTGTGTACTTCCGTTAAAGTCGGTGCCCTCTTGAGCTTATTGTACGCGGCTCTGTGTGTGAACAACTCGTTTTTGCTGTCCGCATTTACCCGGTACATGCTAAGAACGCATCTCTTTCGACCCAGCGCATGTTGTTTGGTCAACATTTTATCTATGCACACGACCTGGCAGAAGACGTTGCCCGGACTTCCACTACTACCCGCGCCGGACCGGATAAAAATTCGACCCGGCCATCATATGCTGTAGTAGTAAGTCGGAGCACAAATGAAACTTTGCTTTAGCGATCACTCCGCGAAGGCTCCTCCAGGACAGCTGACATTGTTTCTGTGGCAGCCTCTAATGACGATCCAGCGTCTAGCGAGATCTCTCCTGGCACCGCAGGATCCTAAGTCGTGTCACCACCTGGTAGTTCGACTTTTTCTTGGCTACTGTTACCACCACCAGCAGCAGCAGTAGCATCCCAATCTACGTTGCTAATAACTACTAATACTAAGCGTAAAAGAAAGCGATCGCGGGCTGATGGAAACTTTGCAAACATGCTGATGAGTTCTCGTCCGAAACCTCTTGCCGGAGTTCCAACAAGTAACTATTTCAACATCCTCAGCACTATCAAGGCCGAGGTCGGTTGTTGTCCAGCGACGCTCGGAGACCCCGCGCTTTCAGATCGTGCCACGAAAGGTTGAAGATCCGCGCGATAAAGACTAATAAACGATGTCGATTCAAGAGATTGTCAGTAAGATGGAGGCTGCTGAAGAGACGGCTAACCTAAAATCGCTGCCAGACTGCTTGGCTGCTGCCGATGCCATGGTGGATAGTCTTCACAAAGCACTCCGTACGACAAATAACCCTGACACGCTGACATTCATCAGCTCCGTTAAGGCACCCATGGCTTTGAATTCCGTGCTTCTACGGCAGAATCGCGAGTTGAGCCCCAACATTACCGAGATCGCTCAACTCCACATGATAAATCCTGTTTTGAGCGCGATTGATCTATCCGTCACCAGCACGTTTGCCCGTAAATTGGCCAAGTATGTCGGCACTGTGGTTTCCAAGACCCGTGATAGTGTATTTCGATGTGTTACCTCATGGTGGAACAATCCATATACAGCATTCATTACGTGGCGACCAGAGCATTGTTGCTCTTCGAGCTGATGTTGATGTACACGGCGTCCATGATCTTTGAGAAGAATTATTGGCTTTAGCGTCAGACAGGATGGTCAGTACCTTGGATCCCAGCACACAATAGACGTCTGCTGCACCCCAACATGTTGTTGGTCCTGCTTCGCTCACAGATTGGCATACACTGATTTAAAATATGGAAAGAGGTCCAATGGCAAGAAATCATGCTAAATGACCTCGAGTATCGTCGGAAATGCGATCACTTCTTCCCAGAGAAAGCAGAAGTGCTGCAGCTTCAGCAAGCTGAAGGCCAATTTGTGCTGACGGCTCGAATGTTTGCGCTGAACTACTAAGGTGATCCCACGCGTAGATGTACCTGAAGTATCATGGCAAGACGTCAGCTTGATGACCATCAACACCAATGGGATCAAGAAAAATGGGCATCTACTCATCGATCACCTCCTTACAAAAATAGTCTTTCTTGCATCCAAGAGACCAAACTTTGCGATTGGCACTATCTGGATACTTTCAGTTCAACCTCCAATCGCGCTTCAAACACAAGCTATTCGTCAGTGCCCCTGGCGCAGTCAATGCTTTACACAAAACAAACCGATCTGACGGTGCCTTGACTCATCCAAACCACGCTTACGTGCTCCCCCAGGACGCAGCGCCTGTATGAGTTGACTTGGTTAATTGAAAGTTGCTGATGCTTGGCGCATCCATCACCAAGATGAACGCATGTACAGTGCCCCCAGCCGCGCCAGAACCGACCTAACTACGCTTTGCTGTCGAAAGACTTTTGTAACGCTCTAAATGGCAACTCTAAGTAATTTGAGCCTATGGGCGCAGGTGACCACTTAGCACATACAGTGACCCTGCGTCCCATATATCAGCCTCACGGATACGGTCGCTGGCGCTTCCCGGCTTACCTCCTGGATTGTTCCGATGTTATGAATGACATTCGTGGCAAAGTTCAGCAAGTTCTGAAAGATCAAAATGCTGCATCAAACCCAGGCAAAGTCTGTGAACAGTGGAAGCGGTCTATGAGGAGACAGATACAGGCTCTACAACGTAAGCTACGAAAGCAAAATGACACTGTGCTTAAGATCGCACAACAAATTGCAACAAGATTCCGCATCAATTGAGACACCATATCCAAAGATGCATATCATGCTGCACTGAATACGTACCGGGTCTGCGTGTCCCAGGATCGTTGCTATAACCAAGACTCGGCCTTTGACTTTCAAGTTCAGAATGCGGAGACGTCTTGCAGATACTTCTTCCGTCAGCTCGACACGAATTAGTATTGAAGAAGTTCGAACCCCAGAAGGCAATATCTCGCGAAACCCAGCTGATATTCCAGCGAGTTTTTAAGCCCATTGGGGAGGTAAATGGGATACTGGCCGTCCTATAGGACGACAACCAATTGCTGACAGTCAATGGAAGCTGCGAAATACAATTGACAAGCGTCTTACATTAAAGACCAAGCTTTGCTAAATGCCGCAATTTCTGAAGCTGAACTCTCCGACGCGATCAAGCTCATGAAAACCACCTCTACGCCCAGCATGGATGCCTTACAGTTGGCTTTTACCACGTCGTAGCTGATGACTTCGGGAAATGCTTATGTACAAGTTTAGACTACCAGCTGTCGCGCAGTAAGCTCCTCCCTACCCAACGCAAGTCAGCTGTGTGCATGTTACACGAAGAAGGCTCCAGGGATGATCCTGGCAACTTCCGACCAATCTCACTTATTGGTGTTGATGTCAGGGCCCTGTCCAAGGTGCAAACCTATCACCTTCAAACCTTTCTTCCTTGGCTTAGTCATGGCGACCAGAATGCTTTTGTAAAGGTCGGTCTATTCATCATTACTTGCGCTTCGTGGCGGATCTGCAGGATCTCGTAACAGCTCGCAAAGAGAGAGCCTATGCCTTGTTTTTCGAGTTCGAGGAGGCATACGACCGGGTCAACTGAGACTATATGCTCTAAGTGCCCGACCGCATGGGCTGTGATGGCGCTTTCACTGATTGGTTGAAGCTTCTCTGCACGGATCCACAGGCATACCTTTTGTCAGCGGACACATCCAATCACCGATTTTTCCAAACGAGGGTTCTATAAGATGACCCGCTTTCAGCGCTGCTGCTCCTTGTGGTCATTAAACCGCTGGGAAATGTGCTCCCGCAACATGAAATGCACAACGTTTGCATCACCGAAGATCACACTACCATCAGCGGCTTCTTTGCCGACAATTTAACGCTGCTCTCCAGCTCGTTTTTCGGTATACAGGTATAGCTTGATCTAGTTCGGCTGTAGCTCTGGGGCCAAGCTCAATCTTACCAAATGTGTGCTTATGCCTCTAAATCGAAAAAGCAACCCGATTAGCATTCCTGGCGTCAGGACGCTTCAGCGCGGGGAGACAGTCAAGTTCCTAAACATTCTATCTGGTCAAGTACCAGTCGAAGACGCCATCGTGTAGTTCTTAGACTGGCGTTTTAACGAGTAATTCCTACAGTGGTTCCGTCGCGCTCGTACCCTGAAAGGATGTCTGCTGATTGCCCCGACCATGGTTGAAGCGGGGCTGCTGTGGCTCTTTTGCTTACAGGAAGCTAGCTAAGGTCGATTACCTTCCGTTCCATACTAGAACCAGTACGAGAGTAGCGCATCGCAATTCGCTTACTCCAAGAGTAACCACAATCTTAACCCAAGGCAAGTAAACTCCTCTGTTCAAAATGTAAACTGTAGCTCTTTGTTGTATTTGAGGCAAAGCCGCCTGCATTTAAATCTATCAGATTTCTAATTAAATAGTAAAATCCAATTCAATACATCACTACTGGCAGCCCCGCCACGTAGTAGCTTCTTGTTAAAATGTAACCACACCGTTGTGTGGTCACACCATCTTGTGTGACCCACCCCTTTATGCCAGGGCACGTGTGACCCTGTTCCACTCTTCCTCATCCGAACTGTGAGCACCCACAATTCATATTTTATTTCGCCTCGTACGATGCTCGCGTGTCTAAGACACCTCTACGTTCCCAGGAACTTTGCACGCATTCTCTGCTTAATGTGCCCTGCGTTTAGAATACAAAAGACACCCAGCCTCGTTGGTTCCGAGAGCGCCCGCAGGCAGAGCCCTTCTTTGTCTCCTGTACGCGTTGCAACTTCAGACAGTACGTCCGCGGCTTCAAGGGAAGCGCATCCCATGCCCTCGGCAATCGCGCATCGCGCCCACCACAGACAACGGATAACCTCATTGAGGATTGGAAGATGTTCACTACGAGTTGGATACTCCTTTACCAAGATGAGAAGAAGAGGAGGGTGAGGTGCGCCAGCGGCGCGACGTGATCCCTGCTTGAACCTTGCGAACACTGTGTCCGTTTCCTGACCTCTCGACTTCCACGGAAAGTATTATCATAACCAATCGCCTCGACGAGACACAGAGACAGCAGCTGGAGGCTGCCCACAGGGAGGCTCTTATGCGCTCGCATCCACGGTCGCTCCTAGACCCTCGTGTGGGATACGGCTTTTGCTCGGCGGATCCCGCTACAAGAGAATTAAGCATGTCTATCTGTCCGAAAGAAAGCTAGTCGAACGGCTGATCTTCCATCTCAGGAGAAGCGGTCGTCAATTGACGACAAGTGCTACCAAGTACAACTGGATTGCTGTGCACGTTAAACAAAGAACGTTTTGGCTTATATAGTCTGCATCATCAAGCTTACAGGTAAAGGGTTCTCGGCTTTGTGGATTCGAAAGCTTTGAAAATGTCCAAGTACTTGGACTGCTCTTCTATATCAAAAGTGACGTTTATAAAAAAAGTTTTGTTTCTGAAGTTGCTCAATATATATGCTTTACTTTTTAATACAAGTGCATGTACTGCATGACATGAGGCTCGCGTACTGCAGACCTCTCCTTTACGGAGTTCCATCGTCCTCATTAAAACAATCAATTTATACTATAGAGATGTGTAATGTTTGCGTACACAATTGTGTATAAGATTTACAAATGGAGCGAATACGCAGTTAACATGTACGACATAACGTTTTTCAACTCAATTTGTAAGGTATCATCAAATAACCAACCTTTATTTTATATGAAATGGAGTATTTTTCTGCGGTGTTCGCATTTAGTTGAAAATGCATTTGCTTTGCTGAGGCGCCTGTTGCGACTGAATGCTCTGCTATCGTACACCGAAAGTGGTTGCCAGATCGTGGTGAAATCTTGAGAGACCCATACACTGACTCTAGTGGGTCCGCTTTTGTCCGCTTGGTGTTACTGCTAATTGAAGCTAGATACGAAATCGAAAGGACGCAAGGCGTATCTGGTGGAGCGGAACATGTGTCGACCAGTAAACAAAAGCGCGAATTCGACCGGCGCCTGTCCTCTCTACCATGTACCTCTATCAGTAGCCGCCGTAAACAGGACAAACTTGAACTCGCGTGTGGAGCGCTTTTTAATGCTCTTAGCTGCAATCGTCGAAAAAGAAGTAGCAGAAAAACTGATTTTGAAATCCTGCACTTCAGAAAACTTCAGATCCAACTGTTAATACACCACTGGAGGCAATCGTGTTAAGTGATTTTGTAGCTTCGGAAGGCATCTTGTATGAACTTCCACTGCTCAGCCAAACCTTCCTCCTCCATTTCAAGAAAGCACTGAGACGATTTATCATTTTGGGCATCAAATGATGAAGATATAGATCGAGCAGGTGGCTTCACTATTAATGCGGGTTTACTCGCATTAATGTGTTTGGAGTGAATATTGGCGTCTAACGCTTTAAATTTCCATTGATTCTCATCCGAGTCATTGAATACTGAGCGATCCAAGTGACAAGCTTCGTTGTCGATGAATTTATTTAGCAAGTCGGGAAAGAGCTGAAGCAAACGGGTGACATCGCCTTTTTGAAACTCAGCTTCAACGAGTTTGAGATCATCCTGAAGATTATAATCGGTTGCTGTTACTGATTGTAATAAGTACTTGATAAACCTCAGTATCTGACTGAATAAAGCTGCAATCTGCTCCTTTAGCGTCTTGACCAAGTCATTTTGTTCTTGTTGAGACATTCGCATTTCTGCAAGCTGAGATTGAAGCTGTAAAGTACCATTACGCGTCACTCATCACAGAAATAAATAGCTTAAAAGAGAACTATTGAACCTGGCAATTGTATTCGTTCTGCTCTTCCGCAAATGCAGCAGCCTTTTCAAGAACCTGCTTTTTTTCATCAGCATATCGCTTCTGGTCGTGAATTTTTGACTTTTGATCCTGAATTTGCTGACTAAGTGCCGCCACATCCGACTCGAGCGCTTTTCCCATTAAAGCTAATCGGTCATTTTTGGCTGAAAGGTCTCGAATCGCTGACTTCTTTGCCTTTAGGATTTCACCTTGGTACTTCGCAAGTTCTTTTAGTGCATAGAACTCTTCGCAATCGACAGTTGCACTTCGCAACTTCTCGTGGAGAGTATCTTGTTGGACAACATACCGCTCGATCTCCGCTTCACGCTAGTTATGGAAAAAAGATTACTAGATGAGACTCAATAACTTAGCTGCATCCGTGTATCTCACCGTAACCAACTCCTCTCGACAGTCTCGAATCTCATCGTGCCGATTTTCCATCTCGTGCTTGCACAATGATGCAGTGGCTACGAGTGTCGCACAGGCTGCAACGAGATCATCACGTTCTCGTGCCCATGATGCAAGAGCTCGATTCACTTCGGTAACCACTCGTTCTCCAATTGTAGCAACGCAGATGCACAAATCGTTTAAGGCGCGACCCAATAAAAAGATTCGTATCGGCATTTTTCTTGTTATGAATGTGGTGAGTGCTTGACAACATGTTTTTAAATCGCATAGCACAAAATCATTTTGTAAAAACGCAGATCGATCTGCTTCAGTGTCGTCTGTATTATCGTCAGTCTTGGCTCGCCGTCGACAAGTATCGGATATTGTGTACAATGCAGCTGAAAGCGCTGCTTCTAGCTCTGCTATATCTTGCTCCATTTGACAAAATCGCTGTGTTTTTGTATCTATCATCTCTTCTTGAGTATCCCTCGCTTGTATCAGTTTATCAAGTTGTTTTTTTACATCCGCAAGTGTGCGCTTCAGGCTACTATTATCGTGCATGAGTATGACATTTTGGGCCACAAGCTCTCGCTTACCAAGCGTTGTAGCCTCGACTTCTGCATACAGCACATTAATTCGCTCATCCGATACCCGTGCTACCTCCTTTAATTGATTTTGAGATAACATTTCCTTCTCTTGCCACACCTTTAGCTCTGCTTGAAGACGCTTCACTTTATCTCGCGATTTCTTAAGTTTACACACGTAGTTGTCGACAGAATCGAGCAATTCTTCTTGTAGCACATTCATATCATCGAGATGGGTTTGCTTCGCTGTACACTCATTTTGCAGTCTCTCAGCTTCTTTTTGCGTTTCTTCACATTTCAAAATGCTATTTTCGAACTGCTCATTCAGTGATTTAATAATTCGTGTCATGTCATTAATCGTTGCTTGCATCGCAGTCTTAGCTGTTATGGCTGCCTGTAGACGGTCTTGTAGAGCTTCATGCAATCGCTGAGCATCCGATACGACAGTTTGAAGCTCATTCATCTCTTGCACTTTTTTCAATAGTTGACACTGTACATCTTCATAGTTTTTACGAAATAGCACATCCATTTCTTCCAACTGCTTTCTTGCAGCTTCGAGGTCATTGAAGGTCGCACGTTGTCGCTGTTGCTCTTGGTCGAGTTGCCCTTGAATTGATTCAAGCTGATCACTTTTCTCCACGACATTTTTTTCCTGCTCGTAAATTGTATGACGCAGCTCCGCAAGCACGACCAAAAGTTCTTCGTGACCAGTAACGTCAAAGTCTGTAGCTTTGAGATGAACAGCTTCTTCAAGAACGCGGATGTACGCTCGCTGCTCATTAACAATCCCTTTGATATCGATCGCTTCGTCTTTCTCTTGATCTGATGTATCATTTAACGGAAGTAGGTTGTTTATTTGAGTGTTTTGAAATACTTTCAGCTCTGCCAGCGCTTTTTCGATCCGCTTAGCAGCTACTTGATACTTCATCTTTTCGCTTTCGGCTTCCTTGACCTTGCGGTCTAACTCTTCTCGCTTCTGTCCGATTGACGCATCATTGCTAATCATCAACTGTGTCGCACGTTTCTGCTGGTCCAGAGCTATCGTGCGCGATCCAGACGGTGTTTTCAAGCTATTGTCTATATATTTCCTCTGCTGCTCTCGCATCATTTCCAGCTGTCGCTTCAGGTCTTGAACTTGTTTCTTATAACTATCAATCTGTAAGTTTTGCTTTTCCAGCTCTTCATACACATGTGTCAACTCCAACGCCTGTTGGCGGAGCTTTTTAGACAATGTGTCAATTGGATGTACACTAGTAATTGGAGTATCCGTGATCTGATTTCCTAGCTGATTGGTATCACTTGAATCAGGATTTAAAGTCTTCAACTTGGTGGTACTCATGAGCGGTGTTGGCATTTTTTCGTGTAACAAAGGGGACGAGGGTGCTGTAGTCGTAGCTCTTACTGATCGACGGTGTTTATGATGAGAGGAAAATGGTGGAGAAATTGACAATGGACTTGACTCTTTAAGGGAAGCAACGATACTATCACTTTGAGATTGTTTTGACAATAGACTGACACTTGGGGTCTTAAGCGATCGATATGTCGGAACACTGAAAGCGGATGTAGCAGTTCGACGGACTTGACTCGATTTTTCAAGCTGCATTTGTGAAAATAATCGCCGCGCTGTCTCTTTAGTTCGTTACAGGCTCCCGTCTTCACTTTGGAAAAGACGCGACGGACGGTTTGAACAGCAAATCTTGACAACAGCATGAAAGAGTTTAAGAAGCGAGACTTGTGGACAGCTACACAAGTGCTCGCATTAACTGCTACAGGTTTAGCTGCATCACATACTCAACCATTTGTTCGACTGTTGTACAACGATCCAAAGACGCGTGTGAATAAAGATATAAAATCGCGAACGATAGTGGTGGACGGTCGGGATTCAGACGACGATATCATTTGTTGTCGACAACAAGAGCAAAGCGGGAAGTTTACAGCCAGCTGGAACACAAGCAATGATACGGGAGAGGTCTTTACTGTTCACCCAGTGGTCGACTGGGTCGAAATGCAGCTTTGGAATCATTTTGACAACGGCTTTGACGTGTTTCTGGGTAAAGCTTCGATCTCGTTGCATCAACTACAACAACAATGCAGTCAAGAGGGGAAAGACCAAAATTCTTTGCGTACTGGTGCCTTGTGGTTTCCATTGCAAAGCTCGAAACTCAATGGAGTGGCGTTGCGAATGAGTCTTGAGATTGAGTGCGTCTTTATGGTGGATCCCAAAGTTCTTCGCATTCGCAAGGCAATGGAGCAACGTCAGCATAAAGCGGACGTAAAGGACACTGGCACGAGTGTTGCTGACCCTACGTTCACCTTCATACAGCCATATCAGCCTGTCGAGTGGTCATTGATAGCATCTACTAATGTCAGACATCTCTTCTTTCATGTACGTGATCTTTGCAATAACTCAACAAGACATTCGTTGACGGTGTCCTTCTAGTCTGACGTGGAACGTCTAGCAAACTTTCGAGAGATTGTGTTGTATGGCGATCTAGAAAAAGAGCTGGACGATGACGAAGGACTTCAAATTGACGTTGATCACCTTACAGCATACAAAATGTGTCAATTCTCGGCTCAATATCTTGATCATTGTATAGATACTCTATCTCAGCGAATCGAAGGATATCGCGACGACTATCGAGCTCTGGCTGATACCAAAGCGCAATTATCTAGAGAGAACAAAGCATTGGTAAGGAGATATTTTAGCTTTGCATGCTTGGTTTGATTATATGAACAAGTGTTTCATTTTAGACGTTTCAGCGTAAGTGCTTGCAAAAGGAGCATGACGAGTTGGATCTATTCATTTCGACATATCAACGTCTTTTAGAAAAGAATAGTGATGGAAAGCTTGTCAACGAGCGGCTGGAGGAGCTCAGTTCATCTGATCGAGACACATATACAACCAAACCTTTGAGCCCATCGATGTCTTTAACGGAACAATTCTCATTTATTGAGCCTACAGTTCATAAGACGTGGAAAGAATGTGAGCGCGACCATCAATCTGAAAATGATCTTTTTAAAACTCAGCAAATGGAGATCGAGACGCAACGATTAGCACAGCGCGTCCTGGAACAACAACAGCGAGAGTATCGCGACAAGATTTTGTCAATAGCCGATGAGAATCGAAAGCTGTTTGCAGTTAAAAAGATTCAAGTGTTCTTTCGCAATATTCAAAAGATTAAGCAGACTCAACAAGAGACAACGAAATGTCAAGCGGCAATACGTATTCAGGCTGCATGGAAGCGATTTATGGAGGTGAAAAAGCATCTAAATAGACTTGAGACACAAAAACGAGAGATTAGTATCTTGTTGATGGCACAAAGTGAGCGAGAGACTCGGCAATGGGAGGCTGAGATGAAGCAGAATAAAGCATCAACGAATGTTGTGCCGTTAGAATCCACTGATGAAGAAAACATCGCTGACATCATTGTGACGCCATCTGCTTCACCTTCTAAGCACGTTGTTGATGCACTCGTAACAACTTGGCGTAAGCTTCACCGCGTCTTTGTACTGGCTCACAAATCTAAAGGAATCGCTTACCACGCACTCTTTGATGAAATCGATCTACGAAAAGATAAAGTGATTGATCGAGCTGAGTTAAGACTCGGAGCTTGGAGCTTTGGCATACGACTTGACCGCAAGATCACCCGAGCGTGCGTTCGGATCGAAATCAATGATAAACTTATTACTAATTCACACATTTTGTGCTGTCTACATGCAGATTAATAACTTTGCTCCGTACGAAGTGTCAATTGCCATCGAAACCTCTACTTGTAACATACGAGCAATTTATGACAGGCTTTGAGCTGACATCTCAAGTAATGAAATCTTCCTCGGAGCTGGAGAATTCGATATCTCATTCTGAAAAGCGAAAACGTTCAACTGATGAGAACGAAAATTTAGAGAGCGCCAAAACTGATGAACCTCTGGTTAAACATACTTCAGACGCACACGAAAAAGAACCTACTGATGAGGAAAAGTTAGTTATGGCAGTGCATAGTTTCCGAGCTGCAGTCTACAAGTCAGCAGCAACCAATCTCGGAAGTACTAGCAAGTTTCCGATCGATAGCGCAGTACTTCGAGATACTTTGACGCATATCTGCTATCCGTGCAATACAGACTGTAATAGTCGTCTTGAAGTGAACGAACTGATCTCTCGTTTGACGAAACTTAATCTTCAACTCACGAATGACCAAATTTCAATACTGCGAAAGCTATTTCTTAAAAGTAATGAAAGCGATGAAGTGGATGTCGCGGAATTTCTTTCTTTTGTGCTAACCCACTCATCATCTACTGATAAAGCCGAGCTTGGACTGCTAGGACACAGCGTTCGAGAATTGATATTGAAACATGTTCGAAAGGCTCCAGTCGAAATTGGAAATATCGAAGATGCTGTACGTTTCGTGTTTAGAGAAGCGTACAAACATTCAGATCAGCCCAGCTGCTCAATTCGGGACTTTATGCACGCACTGAAGCGTTTGCATCTAGAAATTGCACCAATCCATATAGCGCGTTTTGTCGTCACATTAGATCGCGATGGTGACGGCTTCATTTATTTCGACGAGCTGCTGACTTGGCTGCGACTTCACTCATTCGATTTATCCGATAAGAATTTGCAGTCAGCGTCTGAACAAACAGTCACAAGTCAGCAAGCGGAAGTAGAGGCTTTGCAAGATCTTTTCGAAAAACTTGCGTTTGCCCATACATCAAATCTACCTTTTATAAGCCATACAAACTGTTTGACAACTTTATTTCACCACATTGATCGTGATAAAAGCGGCAAAATCAATCAAGAGGAGCTACACGCGTTTCTTAGTACTCAGGATCTCTTGTCTTTCATCAAGGAAGATATTCTTAAGCAAGTGTGTGAACTGCCAACCTTACCAGAAGACCCCTCAGCGGTGGTGGCGCAGAAATTGATAAAGCTGCTGGACTCGAGTTCCAATGGCGTCGTAACCTTAAAAGAATGGCTAAAGTTTGGCCAGCACGACATACCACACGACAGCAGTGATCTCGCTAATATTGATGCCATGCGAAAGATATTGTGTGAAGCGGTAGAAAACGACGTCGAGCGATTACTCGACTGGTTTCATGATTTGCCGGGTATCATACAAGCTCCGATAGGCCGCCATGATGATCCGAATCAGATGCAAGTGCGTGTGGCTGAATTCAAGACCGCTCTGCGTGTTAAAGTTGGTGGTACTCATTCTGTGCCCAGGCAGACGATTGATGAGATTGTGAATAAAATCGATAAAAATAAAAGTGGATGGATCACGACAAGCGAATTATGTGCTTGGACATTTCCATCTCGAGACCTTGATGAGCTTCTTCGTCTAATTATCAAGTGCTGGCAAAAAGAATACCAACAAACTAGTACAATCGACATAGCTAACAACTTGTACGCACGCTTTGACGTGGATCATAATGGATGTCTCGGTGTACGTGAATTACGGCAAGGATTCAAAACGTTTGGCTTGAATTTATCCGAATACGAAACTCGTGTTTTACTCATTGCTTTTGATCTTGATAGCGACGGTTGCTGGAATAAAGCTGAGTTCAGTGCATTTGTAAGCAAGCTAACTCCAGTCCCTTTGCTTATTAGTGACTTATCAACCATTTCTGGTCAAAATCCAATCAACAACGCAGAACACCAAGCAATTTTTGAGAATTCACATCATAGTCACGAAAGCTTTTACAGTGACGACAGCTTTTCTGATTCGAAAATACTCAGTGAATCATCGTCACGAGATCAGATGGCCGATAGTGTGCATCGTGAAGAGTACAGCGAGGATTTTATTGAAGACTAAGTGCGTAAAAGGCTCTTGTTACCAAATGTATATAGTCGGATAAATAAATGTATTGTGCTGAAGTGAATTCTCATGTTTGAGCTGCTCCTGATACACTAATGTTGCTAGAATACAATAAAGTCACATGATGTGGTTTTGCCACACTGAAAAGGGTTCACACGTACCACCGAACACACACACAAAAGTTGATGTAGTCACACAATAGTGTGGCTCCACTGTAATAGTGGCATTATTGCCAGTAGTAATGCATATTGATTAGATTTTACTATATTGGTTTGGCACTACTATATTAATTAGAACATATAGTCTTAGATACTCGGCGGCTATGCCTCAACTTAAATGATTTAATTCAGTTTCAATTTTGAACGGAAGAGCCTCTTTACCTTGTTTGGGGTTCTCAGTACTCTTGGAGGTAGCGGATTGCGATCCATACACTTGTACTGGTTCTTGTAAGGAACATAAGGTCGGTGACCTTAGTTTAGCTTCCTGTAAGCAAAGAGCAACGGCAGCACCGCTGCACTTGGTAGCACTCGTAGTCAATCTACGCCTGAGGCGTTACGACTGATCCTCGATTAGGATATAGCAATACTCCTTTTTGCCCCAGGGCGTGCAGGATGGGCTTAATAAGCTAATATCTCTGCTGGGCCCTGAGGGCGTGAAACATCTGTTTCGCAAGGGCCCGAAGCGATTTAAGACGGGTTCTAGCTATGAAAATGATCTGCTAGAGCAACTACAGCATGTCGACTGCGTCCGTGACGCCATCGTAGACGACGGATGACTCCTCCCAGCCCAGTCCGTTCATGGTGAGCGTTAAGACCTTCGAGGGTAAGGCTGAAGAGAATATCCTCCTCGGGTAAGAGAGGCCGAGATGGCTATGGCATCCGCCATACTCCAAAACGAGCAACAGCGCGTGGCGCTATCTATATCCAAGCTTGGGAGCCGAGAACGTGCGGTGCTTTGGTTTAAGCTGTGTTCCCCTTCTGGATGATGCAGAAGCGTCAGCTTCTGCGAGTGCTCTCGCCGCCTAATCAGGCATATCGCTTGCGATCGCGTTTCGACAGGGCAAGAATTAGTTGAAAAACTTTGATCAAGAGTTGAGAGCGCTCATTGCTGAGATGGCAGCCAATCCTCCCCCCAAGGCGGTCGCGGTTACCGTCTTTATGGAGGGCCGCCGCACTAGCGTGGATAAATGGACGTCCTCCGTGTGCATCGGTCTTCTTTTGAAGAGGTGGTGAATGTGGCATTGAATGCCGAATTCGACCTCAAGTCGGCACGACTTGATTGAAATGCACACACTCTGAGCTCGTCGAGCGGGCCTGAACCAATGGATCTCAGCGATGGTGAGACGGAGGAGGCCGAGCTTCGAGCTGCCAAGCAGCGTTTAAATACCCACGGTATTTTATCTGTGGAGACACCCGTCACCTTCGAACTGGTTGTCCCCTACCCAAAGCGCGTCGAGGTTCATCAAATTGACGTCGCACTTCTACCAGTCTTCTGGTTTGTCGCGTGAAAACGACAAAACTCAGTAGGCGCGGGGCGCCATACTGGGGAAGAACTGAGTTTTGTTCAACGAGGTAGAGGGCAGCCCCGAAGAGCTCTGTACCCCTCAACACGAAAAGTGTATGCAAGCCGGGCACGAATGTCGTATAAGCGACAGTGAAAGGTTTTGAGGATCCATGGAAAATACTGGTCGATTTCGGGGCGTCGCGCAATTATGCTCACCGCTCCACGATCAAAGAAAGTCAGCTGCATACTAAGGCGCCGAAAGCTCGGTTGAGTGCAACCGTTACCGACGGGGACTTGTGTCACTGTGTCGAAGGTCCTTGTGGACCTGTCAAGTTTCTTGACTTCGATAGCGTGGAACACTGCTTAGTCTTAGACCTCGATGCATGGTATGACCTTATCCTTGGTATGGCATTGTTGGAACACCATGAGCCACTGGTTGATTGGAGGTCGAAGACCTTGGGCGCTACCCGCACGTCTCCTGGTGGAGCTATTGGTGACTTATGAACCCACCTATGCTAGGAAGCAGAATCACTATTGGCGCGGGCACTAGACCAGAACGGTCAATGCGCTGAATATCGGAGTATCCAAAATGTCGAAAATGAAGGTGTATTGGACAAGAGTTCCAAGCATGGCTGCGGGTTGAACGTGGAGTGGCACGTGACCCACTGAGCACTGCTCAAGTATCAGAGCTGTTGCTACATACCAAGTGTGGCATGGTCGGCCAAGAGCCGGCGCATTAAAGGCGAGACCCCAGTGATGCACGTGATTCAACTCATCCCCGAGAAGTGGGAAAGGAAACGGTGACGAGGCAAGAGTGGCACGTAAACCACTGAGCATTGCTCACGTTGCGCAGCAGTTGATGCATGCTAAAAATGGCATGGTCAACCAAGGGCCGAGGTATCGAGGGTGAGGCATCAGTGATGCACGTGGAGTGGCACGTAACCCACTAAGCACTGCTCACGTTTCGAAGCAGTTGCTGCATGCCAAGAGTGGCATGGTCGGACGAGATCCGAGGCATCTTGGGCTAGGCCCTTCTGATGCGCATGGAGTGGCATGTTATCCGCTGGACGAAGACTGCGGAAATAGCAGCCTTTCATCGGATGTTGTAGATAACATCGGGGCTTTAAAGGAGCGGAAAGTGAGGGTGACACCGGACGACGTGGAGTGCTTGTTCACCCTATGCAGGGTGCAAGACGCCGGACGTCGACCCTGATCCAGGGTGTGTCTACCGAAGACGACGGTACACAGTTATAA